AGAGATGACACCGAACACTTTGGGACAGAAAATGTCTTGCTTTTTGTCTCCTCCCAGCCCCCGCTCTGCACCTTGTACCTGGTCCTTTGCTGGACCTAAATACAGATGCAAAATAAAAGTGAATAACCACAGCAGTCTTGAACCAATTTCAGTGGGGAAAAAAAATGCTCTGTGTCTGCTGATAGGAGCAGACAGATTTGGGAAAGACAGGTAGGTGTGCCACAGAGATTGCACTAAAAAACATGCTATTCCAGGGTCTCCCTGGTGGCGCAAGGGGTTAAGATGCAACCTATGAAGCAATCCGCAGCCTCTGCAGCACGAGTTTGATCCCCGGCCAGGGAGCAACCCACATGGTGCAGCAGACCTCTCCTGTCTCCCCCGTTGCTCCCCTCAGCAATGTTCTTTGGTCAATCTGCCTGTTCTGTTCCCCACTCTGTCTCTGGTGAATCCTCTCACCCCCGACACCTCTGGCCTGTACCCCAGCTCTTGTATGCATAAATAAATAAATCTTTAAAAAACAAAAAACCATGCTATTCCACATGTGGTCTGAGGACCAGCAGACACGCATCACCAGGGAACTTGTTAGAAATGCAGAATCTGAGGCCTTCCCAGACCCACATAATCACAATTTGCATTTTAACAAGATCTCCAGGTGACTGGAATGTACATTAAAGTTTGAGGAGCACCGCTCTAACACAGAACTGACCCAGTCACTGCTCTGCTTTCACCCCTGCAGTGGCTCGCTATTGCCCTCAAGATCAAGTCCAAACACATACAGAGGGACTGCTTATAACATTATGCATGCTCTAACTCTTACCTATTTCATCAAACACCTCTCCCGCCCCTCACCTTGTCATACTTTCTGTTCCAGTAGTACGGAGTTTCACCCCATCCACATGTGGATTATTTGTCTAGTGTCTTTGTTCACATTTTTCCCTTTGCTAGAACACCTTCTCCTCTTCACTCTTCTTTTTCCTTGACCTGGGAAATTCCTGCTCAATCCAGGAACTGAATGTAATATAGAGGCAGTCTTTTTGACTTGGTGAGAGAGTGCCATGTTTTCACACAGTCATGAGGACAGGTCAAGCAGAGGCATTCAAGGCCAACACTCACAGTATACTAGTGACAAATGCTGGTGGAACAGTTTGGATTGATCCTTGGGTACAACTGAGGCTTTTTAAGGAACATTGCTAGGGACTGGTATTTGTATAGGAGCAGAAGGGAGCCTAGAATTAGTGGCACTCATGTTTTCAGGGTAATATAAACTCATTGGTACTACCAGCTCATAGGCAGGCAGCAGGGAAGAGCGGGCAAAGGAGAGTCCTAGAGCCCTTAGTGGTGTTTTCAGGCTTTTAATGATCTTTCTACGCCATTTGTAGTGAGGCAACCAGGTGCAGAGCAGGCAGGGGAGCCGGGGGACCGGGAGGCTGCTAGGCCTAGCCCTTTACCCTCTCTGGGCTCTCTGGCATTCTCTTGTGGTCTCCCTGCTGCTCTCCACCAAACCTTCCTCTGCCAATCTTAAATGCGCCATTTCTTGGCTCAGGTGTGCCCACTTAATGCATGCCTATGCCACACACCAGGGGTCCACCATCAGGCATGCGTTGTCAGGACCTTTAGTCTGAGCCCGAGTTCTAAGGATGTACCCATGCTGCTGGCAGGGAATTTTAAATAGCAAGCAGATGACACTGGGAATTGGGATAAGGCATATACAGGTGACCCAGTAGCATCTTAGGCCCAGAGGAGATTACAATGATCTCAGGGTTAATGGACAACCTTTTCTGATACAGAATTGATAACAGAGCCAAGAGGTGGCAGAGAGTGGTTCTAGCCATGGAGCCTCTGGAAATAGGGAAGTAGGCTGGTTCTTAGAACCAGAGAATGGAGTGTCTCAAAGATCAAGTTGGGATTGAGAAGAGAGGTCATAGTGGGAGTGGCAGTGGGGACATGAGAATGATTTCAGACAAAGCTTGGGCTGGAAGGAAAACTTACCCAATCTCTAGGATTATTATCTCCTTTTTGCTTTGGTTGAGTTCAATAGAACCAAAACTCTACTTTTTCTTCCCTTCTGAGCACCAGATCTGGAAGAGGCCTGGGACCCCAATCTTTCTAGGGATGCTTTGGTTCTGACAAGTGGCTGGACAGCTCAAGCCAAACTTCTACAGTTGCAACAGGGCCACACTTCTGGAGCATGTGACTCTGAACCCTGTCTGTCACAGTGGGCAAGGCAGAGGGATGTGAGAGCACAGTGGGGGTGGGGAAGGTGTATTACTGGAGAGGGGACAGAGAAAGCAGAGAGTAGAGCAGCTTGGGGAAGACAGCCTCCCTGGGCAGGTGGCTCCATTTGATTTCCGATTTAAAGGGGGAGGCTTAGATAGCCAAGAAGAAAAAGGCTAATAAGAAAAATATTAAACTGCAGTGTGTGTGTCCCCAGGGACTTCCTGTTGCCATGACTGACCTCCCAGAGAGCGCCATTCGTTCCCGAGCATGGCAGCTTTATAGGCACTTGTAGGCCTGCAAAGAACACCAATTTGCTGCTGCAGTTTGTTTTGATAACTGAAACTTTCAATAAATCTATATTAAAATCAAAGGGAAAATTAACTAGGCCCCAGTGAGGGGCCCGGAGATAAGGGAGCACATTACCACCCTGGCCTTAGCCACCCCACATCCGTCTCTTAGTTCAGATTCAGGTCACAAGGGAGATGAATGGCTCAGGCTCATGGGGAACAGCCCCAGGGAGAGCAGGGTGAAGAAAGCATGGCCAAGTCCAGCCTCCCTGCCCTGAAAGGGAGAAGACTGAGGACTGGGGTAGGGGTAGGGGCGAGGAGATGGGGGGGAGGTGGTAATCACAGTAGGAAGAGGAGTTGAACAGAAGGGCAGGGGAGAGGTGAGAATAATAGTAGTAACAGTTGATATTTACTGAATTTTTTATGCCAGATATTGTGCTAAGCATGTTTCTAATTAATTCTAATAACAGGTAGGTATTACTATAACTTCTACTCTAGGAATGAAGAAACCGAGCTTGGCGAGGTATAGAACTTGCCTCAGGTTATAGACTGAGCCAGGACTCAGACCTGAGCAGGCTCTCTAAGCGCATATCCCTGGTAACTGCACTATGCTCTCTACGGAGTTTACAGGGACTCAGAATGGCATCTTTTCCCTCAGTTCTCAGATAGAATGTTTTCAGATCCTGCCCAGGTTCGCACAACTGTGCCAAGTTTAGGCGCTGCCATATACTGCCCTTGGTCCTGGGCTCTCTGACCTTCAATGGCTGGTTAACATTCCAGCTTTGAAGGCCATCTTGTGGTTTTGCTGGTGGTCTGACAAGGCAATGTGAAAAAACTTTCTTTAGTTCCTGCTCTCAATGTTCACTTCAGCTCAGTCACTTTATCTCGGAGCTGCCTGAGGTATATTTATGTGTCTTGTGTAAGAGACTCAGTTTACGTTTCCAAAAATCTGCTTGCCTCATGTGTACCCTCCATGCGCCCACCCAGGGTCTTGGCTACTTGTATTTTGGGTAGCTAGCTGTTCACTACTCTTACCTCACTGAACATCCAGTTGTCTCCTTTGCCCTCTGAGAGGATGATTAGGTTTCGATACTCTGTGGTGGGACTGCAGCAGGCCTAATTTGACCAAACCAGAGACTACGACTCCTCTTACCATTTCTACTCTCAGATGAATCACCATGGCTTAGGGTGTGGGATCTGGCTCCCCCGGTGGCTTATTGGAGTTCTGGGGTATTACAACCCTTCCTTTCCCCTTGTCTGAAAAGTGATGGGTCTATGTGGGCTATACAACAGAGGAACTAGCTGTGTTTTCTTTTAAACTCTGGTCAACTTGATATTACACAACCTTGCATATTCTTTTCTTCTTTCCCTGCCTCACTTCCTCCCCCACCCCTTTTTCTGCCTTGGGATTATACAATATTCCAAAATGGGAACTGACCCCCCCCAAACACACACAGTTGAAAATCTTTGTATAACTTTTGATTCCCTCCCAAACTTAACTACTAGTAGCCTGCCATTGACTTACTAATAACATAAAGCTGATTAACCTATATTTTGTATATTATATACTGAATTCTTTAAATGACATAAGCCAGAGAAAAGAAAATCACAAATGGATTATTGTAAAGGTGTTCACCCTTATCACTTCACTTTGAGTAGGTTACAGAGGAAGAGGAAGGTTTGAAACAATTCTGTGTATAAGTGGATCCTCACAGTATAAACCTAGTTGTTTAAAGGTCAACTGTACTTCCCAATGAAGTACCATATAAGGTTTGCCTCTGGTTGTTTTCCAGGACATCAGAAAACAGAGGGAATCACAACAGAGCCAGAGTTTTGAAAGGAGGCAAATGCTGGGTTAGGTGGCACTGCACCTAACTGAGTGCAGTTAGGTGGCACTGTACCTAACTCAGTATATACTGAGTTTTTAAACCATCCCATTATTTGAATGCATTTTGCCTGGTCTTTATTTAAAAAGATCTTACAGTCAACTTCCTGAGGTCCCAGAAGCATCAAGAAGGAAAAGAACACATTCTGAGGAAGTCAGGGGAAACTTGGAAGGCTCCATGAAGGATAGTTGGGGCTGAATCTGAAAGAAATCCTCCAACCCAGATAGTATAGGTTCTTTTCATTCTTAGAGGCAAGAAAGTTGGCTGTGCCCTATTCCCTCACCAGACTCAGGATATAACAAAACCAAAGACAGGAGAAGCCACCTCAGGACCTCTTACTTGTCTACTTTTATTTATCTATTTAATTATTTATTTCCTGTTCTTCCTCTCCCTTCACCTCCCCAATATAATGCCTCTTGACAATACAGATTTTGTGTATTATTCACCATTAAATCCTTAACAACAGAAATAACTCCTGACACTTAGCAGAAACACTGTAAATACATGTTGACTGGTTGATTAATTGGGATTAAGTCTAGATGATAGAAGGTGAAGACCCAATTTCAGTTCTAAGAATTGGTACACACAGATATGCCTCTACTTTACTGACCTTAAGTGACATCTGTTGTTGATGGTTATTCTCCCATTTGTCCACATTTATTGTGTGCCTGTTTTATGCCTGGCATCTTCCTGGATATTACAGCATAAACAATATGGAAATAATCCTTAAAGGAGAGATAAGGAAATAGGCAATTATAAAACAATGTGATAAATTCTGCAGGTGCAGAATAGAATCACCTAGCTCATTAAATGGGATTAACCCTCCAAGGAAGGCATTTCCAGCTCAGGTGGGAAACATGAGGTTAAGGTCAGATTTAAGGTCAGAAGTAAAGCCCCCAAAATGACATCAGTTAAAAAAATATGCATACCTCCCTGGTGGCCTAGGGGTTAAGCCTCAGTGCTATCACTGCTAAGGCCTGAGTTCCATCCCCAGCCAGGGAGCTAACCCACATATGGCGCAGCAGACCTCTCTTGTCTCACCCAGTGCTCCCCTCAGCAGTGTATTTCAGTAGATCTATCTGTTCTGCTTCCCACTGTGTCTCATGAATCCACTTACCCTGCCCTGCCCCCCATTCTTCCCCCCCCACACACACCTCTGGCCTACAACCCAGTTAGTTTTTCGGGGGGCAGGGGGCAGAGAGGGAAGCAGATGGCAGACAGAAGACTTGATGATGGAAGCTGGACCCAGAAAATCATTTCTGATTGATTGGGGGGGGGGGCGTATCAAAGCTATCAGTGGCTTGACCAAGGCTGAGATTTCCTACCTCAGAAGCTGGTACTCATGACTCCCCAGAGAGCCATAACCAAGATGAAGCACATTTCTGTCGCTAGCTAGAGTTCCAGTATCCTTTTAGCTCTGAAGTCCTTCTGGAGCCAACCTCAATAAATCAGTCCCATCTTCTCTAGGAAGGCCCTTCCGAAATCTAAACACTTTCTTCTTAGCCTAAAAGCTCTCTTCCTTCCTATCAAATCACCCCCAGACCTACATCAGAGTAGATAATCATAAGACTTGTTGTATGAAGGAGTCCTGGGAAGGTGTCATCTATATGTAACGTCACCTTATGAACCCATACTCACCTGATGGCATATATTGGAAGGTGAGAAAACCGAGGTGGGGGCCCTGGATCGCTCTAGGCCTTAGAAAGTTTTCGTGTTTAAAACATTTCCTTCACAGTTCATGAGTAAGCCCGCTTCACGCTCTTCTGAATACGTGCAACTTTGAAACTACAAGTACCATGAGGCCAGTCACTGGGACTCACCATCTTGACACACTTTAGCGCATGTCGGCAGCAGAGTAGGCATTTGGGGAGGAGAAGCCCCGCCCACCTGCAGCCTATTGGTCGAAAGGGCATGCGGCGGGCTCAGCGGTTGGCCACCATACCCGCCCGTCCTCTGCGTCGACCCGGGTCAGAGTGCGCGGAGGTGAGTCGGTGTGTTGTGGACTCGTGGTGCTGGCTGCCGCTGTTGAGGCGGCCGGGAACGGGCGGTGGGGAGCAGGCGGAGCTGGCCCTGCCTCTGCTTGGCCAGCGCCGTAGTCGGCGCGGGCCGCGCCAGCCGCCATAAACTGCCCTGAGCGCCTGCTGAGGCCGAGGGGGACGTCGGGGCCTGCACTTGGAGGGAGCCTGCCGCACTGGCCCCGAGGAAGGGGCGTTGCCATGGCGACAGCCTCTCCCGCCGCTGACGGGGGGCGGGGGCGGCCCTGGGAAGGAGGGCTGGTCTCCTGGCCCCCAGCCCCACCCATTACGCTCCCCTGGACTTGGATGGGCCCGAGTTGGGGGCAACACCCCGGGGTGGGTGACGCGGAGAGGCCCCTTCAGATTGGGCCCGGGTTAATGCATGTGGGGTGAGGGTCGCGGTGCGCGCAGTTTGTGCAGCCTGGGATGCTGCCCATGTGCTCACCCTGGTTGCTTGATCTGCGGAGTAATATTCTGGTGGAGAGGGAGTGGGGCAGGGCTTTGCAAGAACGGCTGCGTGAGGTGATGAAGTGTACTGACTTCTTACCTGGGATACTAGGGGAGCGGAAGAGAGATTTGACCAGAGAAGATAAAAAGTCAAATAGGGAGACAGTAGACAGAACATTGACTATCCTCTGTCCCCAACACACATACAAACACAAGGTTAGCAATTTATCTCGTTGTAGATCATAGCTGTGGTGGTAGTGATGGTGGAAGGAGTGAGAAAGGAATATAATCTGGCTAGCTTTCTGTTTGCTTTTCTTGCAAATGGTCCAGCATCAGGTGTTTTCTTCGTAAAATAAACAAACAAAACTTGAGCTTGGATTGGGGCCGTGACTGCAAGTTCTTGCAAAAAATAATTGTTCCTTGTTGATCTGAAGATACTGAATGTGGCCTCTCATTGGGGATTTGGATTCTGTCCTTAGGGCTGGATTTTGCAAACTGGTAGTACTGTCATTGCCTCTGCTACAGATCTCTGGCCACTTCTTGGCATTAGTTCTTGTCAGACTTTTTATCAGTCTTCCAGCTGAAGGGCAAGAAATAACATGAATCCCATTGGCTAAAGACTCTATTTAAACTATAGTTGTGATTGGCTGAATGATTTTTGATTTTAGAGTTTGTACGAGAAATTGGCTTCATCAAATTCTGCTTTATTCTGACTTTATCTTACACGGCATGCCTTGTTTTAGTGGGTTCGTGCCTGGCGCTTAAGTATATTATACCTGAATCCCCTACCATTTAAAAGCCAATTTATAAACAGGGACTTGGAGTGTGACTCCACTAATGTGTGTCTGTGATCTTGGTTAGAAACCCACTTGACTGCCTTTAGTAGGGGAGGTTGGGGTGGATTGGGGGAAGGGAACTGCCGGGAAGTGATTGATAAGGTTTCCTTTATGGATTCTGTGGTGCTTCACTGGAGCTCAGAGCACTTTGGCAACTTAAGCACTCCAAATTAAAAGCTCATTAACAATTCCTGCCCAAAGATCCTGTAAATAATCGGCTAGCTAGATCTTAGAGCTTGCCTGAGAGCTCTCCTTCCAACTTGAAATTTCCAAATAAAAATGCTTTTATTCCCTTTCATTTTGAAAGTGTTTTCTTTGTGGTGGGGTAGGTTGTGAGTGGCATTTTCCCAAGGGATCTGAGCAGAAAAAAGTCTTAAATGTGTAAAGTGGTAGACAGGAATAAATTGGTTCCAAACCTAGATGTTTCGTTGAGCATACAGAGGCACCTCTGCAATTTCTAGTTCTTTTGGAATAGCTGAATTAGGTGATGAATGTGATAGGTGTCCAGTGATGATTGGCCATGAACTTTGGTTACCTTGACTTTGTTAGAACTTGAGGCAGACCTGAAAGTGTCCTGCAGGTGTTTTCCTGATCTGTGTAGCCATTCGCAGTATGCCCTGTGGGTTTGTGACAGTCCCCCAATTTTGGCCTCAATTTCAGAGTTCCTGAATATTGTTAGCCTTACCTGTATAAACGTACCCTTCTTGACTAGACTAGCATTCTGGGATTACCCAAATGTTTAGTGTTTCTAGGAAATGGTCCTCCTTAGGAAGAACAGTATGCTACCAAAGAACAGGAAATTCATCATTCCAAACCCAGATACATTACTAGTAGCTTTGGAAAGCTCTCTAGAAGCGCTCTCACACAGATAGTTATTATCCCAAAGTAGTTTGAGTTTAGGAGTTGAAATGTAGTATGGTTCTTAAATAGTTTTAAACAGTAGCCCTCTGGGGGATATGGATTGTATATTGAAATAGACTTGTTGCAGAGTTGTGTATTTATCCACAGCATTGGGGCTTTCCTGCTCTCACAGAGCCTTCAGCATCCCCAGCTGCCAATCTTGGCATCTTCGAAGTAAGGAGAGGTGAGAATCCTGTTGCATGGTCAAATTTGTCTTGACTTCTTTTTATGAATGTTTGGACTTGGAGGGTGGGGGGGTTGGAGGCCATTACAGATTATATTTTCTCTAGCTTTTTCTGATAAGGCATCACACGCTCAAAGATTACCAAAATGTGCCCAAAGTCTATAAAGTGGTGAATGTTGGAGGTGGGGGGGTCAAGATTCTCATGTTCTGTCATAGTTTCTTATGGGCATCACATGAGCACCTGCATTAGGTTAGGGTGGTTGAATAGAGCCAGAACGGTTCTTTAGCCTGAGAAATATACATCTTAAGGCATTTGACCAAGACCTTTGGGAATCTTGATTTAATTTGGATTGTGGGTCATCCTTAGATGGATGGTTAGTCTCAGGTTATCTCCATAATTAGAAAAATCAGGGATTGCGTAAAAAGTGGGTTCTGATGATTGGTAAATAGGATCTCAGAGGTTGTTTGTTCAGTAACTAAGGGCCAGACACTTTCTAGGTTACAGGATTGTAGTGGTGGACACGGTAGCCTCTGTCCCTGATGCCAAAGAGCTTACAAAATCATGGGAGAGATTTATAGTAAAGAAGCAATTATGATACACCCTGTGAATGCTATAAGGCAAGTGGATGTTTTGGAAGTTCTCAGAAGGGTCCCCAACCCTGACTGTTGCGCTCAGGGAAATTTCCAGAGGAAGTAACCTTAGCCAGAATTAGATGAAGATATGAGGTACCACGTGTGAAGATCAGAGCTTTGTTGAGTTTGGGAAACTGCAGTTGAGTATAATTGAAACATAATGGGCAGGGAGGCAGGAGAATATGGTGAGAAATGAAGCAGTAGAGGTAAACAGAGGCCAGGGCCTTAATAAGCTCTTAGGATTAGACTGGTGGTTGGTGAAGGAAAAGACATTAAAATAGGTCAGCAAAATTTTCCTGTAAATTTTTAGACTTTGTGAGTCTAATTCTTTAGCTCTACTATTGCAGCATAAAAGGAGCCATACATAGTACAAAAAATAAATGAGCATGTCTGTATTACTATAAAAACAGGTGGCAAGCTAGATTTGGCCCCTGGTCCATAGTTTGTCAACCCTTAGATCAGACTATCATAAGAGCAGTAAGAAACTATTTTAAGCAATGGATTAACATTAGGTTTGTGTCTTAGAAAGTTTGCTCAGATTTCAGTATTAAGAATGGATTGAAGACGACTATGCTAGAGGCAAAGAGACTGACCATGACAGTTACATGCATAGCATTTTATATGGCAAATATAGCCTTTGAGGCTGTATTTTGACCCTTAAAAATGGAATATAACTGAATCTTTGCATATTTGTGTATAATGGTTCTCTTTGCTAATTTCTTGCTGTCAGAGTTTAAAGGATGTCCATCAAAGAATGTGTTGGTGATGCCACCACCTATTTTGCAGACTGGAAAAGATGTAGGGAGGAAAAATTGGGATTAGAATGAATGGAAAAGTTTTTTGGCAACAATTTTCTCCTGAAAGAAATAGGAAATAAATGAAGCCCTGATAGGGATCTTGGCCATAGGGCTCATGCCTTAATGCCAATTGCCTTGAACTTGACACATTATCCACAAAGAAGAGGACCCATTTTCCTGTGCTTTCCAGGGAATTGCTATACAGATGTCCTACTTATCTTTCCTTTTGTTGCTTCTAGCAAGCCAATGACCTTTTCCTGGTTTTGGGGAGAAAGTGTCCTAGTTCAGTGTGATGGGTATGTGTCAGGGGGACCAAATGAAATATGTGTTGAATGTCCAGTGAATTTTCTTGCAAGCCCCAGTGTATTTGTATCTCTGAAGGAAAGTCTACAGATTTCTGAGACTAGTGTTTTTATGAGCTCTCTGAATTTGCTTTCCTTTCTCTGGTATGGAGATAATGGGACATCTAGGGTTGGCAGAAAGTAGCACAGGGTTTTGCTTACGTTGTTACTAATATTTTACAGATAACTTTAAAAAGCAACCAGCAATTGGGCGAGTTGACTTGGTATGTTTCGGGTCCTCACAGTTGTCACAGTGGCCATATGATAGAAATATATGCCCTGGTACTGGTAGCCAGCAGACAGGGGAGGAAATTGCAAGTAATGCAAGGCACCTCTCTTCATAATGGAACATTTTCAGACAGCAGGAGTCCCATTCCAAATCCCAGAATGTTCTTCAGGGTGGACTTTAGCCCCAACACTATCAATGAAATGAATTGAGTGAGCAGCTATCCGAAAGAAATTCACCAAAGTGTGACCAGTCATTTCTTTCTGTCTGTTGGGGTCATTTGTTAATGTTGCCACCCTTGTGGCCCTGCATCTCTGTAAAATGTCTCGCAAATGTTTGCTTATTACTTTTCACCACCACTCTGGGAGGTGGGTCAGGTGGTCAGCTTTATTGTCCCTGCTACTCATGAAAGGAAACTGAGGCTCAAGAAGGTTAAGTGTGCGGCCTGAGGTCATGCTGTGAGGTACAGCAGTCAGAGCTCGTGCACATTTGCCTCCAGATGAAATTGTGTTGGTTTATTGCTGTGATTTCTCTTCCTTTGAGTGAGAGATGTGTAGTCATTGCAGAACTGCAGTCTGATGCATGCCTTGTCCAGATCTGCTAGGCTTGATTTGGGTCCCACTGTATCTATTTGGTCCTGTTGGGTTTTAATCGGTGACTGCTAGGACCAGGCCTATTGGGAAGCAGATTCCCTTTGGGTCACTGTTTTTAGCCTGTCCTCCTTTGGGGACATTCTTGGGGGAGCCTCGGGTTACAAGAGATTGCTTTGATATGTTCAAAATTGTGCCTTGTGCCCCACAGCTACAGGTAAAATCAAAAAGCGGATAATTTATGGGAGTGTCAGAGCTGGCCGCTGGCACCTCAGGAGGCCATTAGTATGCCTGTTCAGACCCTCTGTGTCCTTGCAATTGATTCCTCTTTGCATGAGCTTGATTTGGGAAGCTGTAGATCTGTGGGTAGTGATTGGATGTGACAGTCCAAACACCGGTCCCTAAATTAATCCTTTTAATAGTATTCCAGCACCAAGGCAATTCTCTCTCTCTCTCTCTCTCTCTCTCTCTCTCTCTCTCTTACTGGAGAAGACAGAACAGGATGGGCTGGAAGGTGAGAGAAGAAAGAAGAAGAAGCTTTGCTTGGTGTTTAGGCTCTGCTCTGTTTTAACATGTCTGAGCATATTCATTCAGCATACCATCACTCTTTGTGCCTGGTCCTGTGCTGGGTGCTGAGAATACAGAAATGAATAAAATGTGGTCCTTGCCCTTGAGAATCTATGTCTTAACTCAATGTTTCTCAGACTTTTAAAACACATGCATTATTAAGACTTAAAAAATGAAAAAACTTACACTTTTCTATAATGCACCATAATACATTCAATTCTTTAAAATGTATCAAAGGGTCTGGCAAAAAATAAGTCAATAAATTATGTCAAGTATGCTTTTACACACACACACACACACACACACACACGCACGCATGCACGCACACATTTGTACCTGCTATCTTTCATCCTTTCACCTAGCTCCTTGGAAATTACTGGTAACAGGAGAAACAAATAACTAAAATCTTACTGTAATATGTGTGATACATGAGTTTTATATATATATATGTCTATGAACAGTGAAAAGTATACAGGTATATGTGAGATTAAAGTTACCAAATAGGAATGAATTATGCTACTGGATGACCTTTAAGTAATTGACTTTATGGTGGAGTCTCAGGGAAAGTTACTACAAAGGGGAGATTGAGCTAGAAGTTGAAGAAGTAGTGATGTATTTGCTGGACATACATTCCAAAACAGGCAGGAGCATTTGCCAAGGAACAGATTTGTAAAAGGAAACAGCTCATTTGGGGCCCTGAGCAAGAACTAGTTGTAACCTGCTGCTTGCCAGTTTCTTTATGACATCAGAAGATTTGCTCCTCTGAAATTGTGTTTGAAAGGAAGTTTTGAGTTCCTTGGATTGCAGTCATTATAATCCAAAATACCCCTTCCTGTTTCTTCTTTTTATACCCAGGATGGCAATTTGTTTTTCTTGTTAAAATAAAAAAATAACAAATTTGGATGATTCGGACAGGCAGTTGCTGTGGTTGAGTTACTTTTAGTTAAAGTTATAGCTTACCTCACAAGAAAAACTGAAATTGATATGCTTGGTTAGCCTTACAACTAATGGGGAAATCAGTAAAGTGAGGGAAGTTGGGCTCGCAAACATGGGAAAAGAAGAAAAGGGCCTTGAAGAGTCGAGTGCCTCTGAGCCTCAGCTTCCCCACGTGTAAAATGGGAATACTGTTGTCCACAGTGTTTGATATTTGGGAGAATTAGATGAGATGAAATATGTAGATCACCAATGTGGTAGATTTTTAGAAAATTGTGTTGTGTCCTCTTTCTCATGTAATTATAATAACTCTTTTATTGAGTTCTTTCTGTTGTGCAAAGCACTTTACAAAGACGTATTACTATAGCTATTTTTACAAAGAATATGTAGTGGAGGCAGGAGTTAACTTGGGTTTGTCTGATACCCATGTTTTAACAACTAGACTTGTGATTCCTTGTTTCTATACCAAATCCATCTTGGAAGCAGGGGTATGGAAGGCTCTGTGTACCTCTCCTCTAGGTGAATACTGTCTGCAAGTGTGGCGGTGCTTAAAGAGAGTACCGTGCTGTTACCCTCCCTCCATTTCTTGCCTGTTTGTGGGGTGTTAGGAAAGAAACTCCTTCATGTGTGATGGGGTCACAGCTGACTTGCAGAACATTTCAGAGAGATGTTTTCCAGCTTTGGCCCCTCAAAGGAGGTTGCCCAAGCTATTGGGAGTGGCATATGGGTCACCAAACAGTGGGCAAATCATAGTCATTTTTTTATGTGCTGCCTTGAGCTGCTGAGACAGGCCAGTTGAAGGGGAAAGTGAGCTTCCTGTGGCTTGTGATGTCACCATCAGAATTTGGAATTCCTGAAGGTCTTTAGTGACTTTAACTCTGCTGATAGTTTGGAATTGGTAATTGCTTCTGCT